CGATCGGGGCTTTTTTGTGGAAAACAAATCTCTGCTGTCTACACTGGCCCTTTTTTGCAAAATTTTTTCGGAAAAAGACTTTTGCCCAAAAGGGAGCAGCATAGTATTTCCACAAAAACACTGACAATCTTACATGAGATCGTCAGTGCTTTTGCGGAAATTCAAGCGGCCAGTGTAGACAGCTGGCAAGTTTTTCCGGAAAAGCAGATGATTTTCCGGAAAAACTGGCCAGTCTAGACACAGCCAAGTAGTCTGCTTTAGGTCTGTCATTAAAACAAAGGGGGAAAGTGGCAGGTTGGGCCAGTCTTACAGCTCACACCTGCCAGGTGTGAAGCAGGCTGACTCAAGCCCTCTCTCCGCCCCCCTCACTCAGTTCACTCAACTCTGGCAGGGGGGAGGGTTATTCCTCTGAGACCTCTTACAATGATGGTGTCTCTCCTGCAAGCACTGGTGTCATATTTTACAGTTCCCACATTTAGGGGTAGCATGATTTGTGACCCCCCTCAACAGCCCCAAATTAGTTACAATATATCACATTCCATTCCAACACTGATCCTCCATCAGCCCTGGCTGAATTAGATTTACATATATTCTCTCCTGAGCTGTATTTACATATCAATAGTTGATTACCTTGCAGAGCTAAACTAAGTGTAGCAGGCACACCCACCCCTCTTTTTAGCTGGCTGATAGCAAGCAGCAGTTCAGTCCCTGCTTACACAAAAAAACATTAAAACAGCTTTAAGTGCCTGCAGAGTCAGAATAGGGATAACAAGATAGGAAAAGTTGAGCACTAAGACCCAGGGAAGGCTTCAGTTTTTTAGGCGTTTTGCCAGCAGCCATTTTGTTTTCTTCATGGAGCCAGAACACAGCTTCCCTGCGGAACCAGGTAAGGGGGGGCTGGGCCCAGTACCGAGTGTACAGTGTTGCCGGGTGTCTGGTATTTTCGCCTCCTAGCTGGGGAAAAAAATCAGAAAATACTGGGCATTTTTGGTGTCCGATATTTTCTGAATTTTTTACCAGACAGGAGGTGAAAATACCAGACTGTCCGGGTCTATACCAGACACCTGGCAACCCTACTCCAAAGATTTATGGCATTATTCCAAACACAGGGCCTTTTATGATTAGCAGGAAGGAAGTACAAGCATCTATGGCTTTCACAACCAACTTCACAAAAGCTAACACTATAATAAAATATCAGAGGGGTAGCCATGTTAGTCTGAATCTGCAAAAGCAGCGAGGAGTCCTGTGGCACCTTATAGACTAACTGAAGTGTTGGAGCATAAGCTTTCATGGGCAAAGACCCACTTCGTCAGATGCATGTAGTGGAGATTTCCAGAGGCAGGTATAAATATGCAGGCCAAAATCAGGCTGGAGATGACGAGGTGGATCCAATAAGGGAGGATGAGTTAGAGTTATTATGGTGCTGTGTGTAGTTGTTGGTGGGAATATGCATATTCTCTAAATATAACTAAATATATTATTAAGAACTAAATATAAAACTTTTGTTAGAGACTATGCATATTCTCACCAACAACTATACACCGCACCATAATAACTCTAACTCAGGAACCAATCCATGCAACAAACCTTGGTGCCAACTCTGCCCACATATATACACCAGCAACACCATCACAGGATCTAACCAGATCAGCCATACTGTCACTGGGGCTATGTCTAGACTGCAGGCTTCTTTCGAAAGAGGCTCTTTCGAAAGCATCTTTCGAAAGAGCCTCTTTCGAAAGAAGCCTGCAGTCTAGACATAGCCCCAGTGACAGTATGGCTGATCTGGTTAGATCCTGTGATGGTGTTGCTGGTGTATATATGTGGGCAGAGTTGGCACCAAGGTTTGTTGCATGGATTGGTTCCTGAGTTAGAGTTATTATGGTGCGGTGTATAGTTGTTGGTGAGAATATGCATAGTCTCTAACAAAAGTTTTATATTTAGTTCTTAATAATATATTTAGTTATATTTAGAGAATATGCATATTCCCACCAACAACTACACACAGCACCATATTTTTCTGGAAAAACACTGACAATTTTACAGTAGATCGTCATTGCTTTTCCGGAAAAGCAAGCGGCCAGTGTAGACAGCTCACAGCTTATTCCGGGAAAGTGGCTGCTTTTCCGGAATAAGTGGCCCAGTGTAGACACAGCCTTTCTGTATTTCCAAACCACCTTTGCTGGCTTCCTCAGCACCTACTGCAGGCATGACCAGATATGGCGCTGCATTACTCAGTCCCAGTCACTGGACGTTCCCAAGACTGGGCTCCCCTAAAGTCTGGAGCTGTGTCTACACTGCACCCCTTTTCTGGAAAAGGGATGCAGATGAGACAAGTCAGAATTGCAAATGAAGCGGGGGGTTTAAATATCCCCCGTTTCATTTGTATAAACATAGCTGCCGCTTTTTTCCGGCTCGGGGCTTTGCCGGAGAAAAGCGCCAGTCTAGACGGGATCTTTTGGAAAATAAAGCCTTTTCCGAAAG